TTTTAAATATAAAGCAGGCCCGTGCTTTCTCTACGGCGCAGAGAGGCAGAGTAACAAGCAATGCCCTTTTCATCTTGCCTTGCCTTTATTGTTAGGCCCATCTTGTGTTCTGCCATTTCCCCGCCGAGGTCTCATTTTCAAGCCCAAGTGAGCTAATTGAAGATTTTTCTTAAATATGCCATACGCTTCATGGTATGCCTTTCCCAGCCCGTTCTATCTGACAAGTTTCTGTTACTCCTTAAAGACTCAGCTGAAATGTCCCAAGTCTCTGTGAAGCCTTCTCTTATGTGTCAAGCAGTTAGGCCTTTAACTTAAGTGCACATACCTTTTCACATAATTAACACTTAACATATTTTTTATCACAATTATTGTGATCTACGTTGTATGTGTGTGTGTAGGTATACAACTTCTTAGATATCCTCATAGCTCCTTAAGAACAGAGATTATGTCGTATCCATCTTTAGTGGTTAAGAGCTCAGCTGCTAAACAAAGGCTGGCAGTTCGAATCCACCCGCCGCTCCTTGGAAATCCTATGGGGCAGTTCTACTCTGTCCGTAGGGTCACTATGGTTTTGGTTTGGTCCTCCGCGTATAGACAGGTTCTGAGCATGTTGTTGTCGTTGTTAGGTGCCGTTGAGTCAGCTCTGACTCATGGAGACCTTATTTATAACAGAATGAAATGTTGCTCAGTCCTGTGCCGTCTTCATGATCATTGGTATTTGAGCCCATTGTGGTGCTTTAATGACTGTTCCAAGTATGAAAACCATAGCTGTCCTGGGAGTGGAACCTGGGCTTCACCATCCACTCCCTTGTAAAGCACAATAAGCAGCCATTCATCAACTTGTGCTTTCTTAATGCTGTTAATCAGGCCGCTGGAAACATTAAAAGTTTGTGGTTACCACCTTCCCTTTCACCTGCCAAAGGTCCTATCAGTGCCACCTTGTTTATTCACTTGACTGGCACCTTCTCTAGAAGAGTGGTATACACTACATATGTCTCTGTTGAAGAAATACGGTTTTGCGCTCTTGATTTTATAGCTTATCACACAAAAAGGGTATTTCTAAAAATCTCTAAACCATTAGTTTTAACCTTTCTCTTTGTCTACATATCTAATTGTATTTTTAAAAATTCACAGAACTTGACTGATACGTTACATCACAAAGAAATGCTTGAAAAACAAAACAACAAAAGAATTTTTAGTAAAGAAATCAGATATGTATGCAAGCATCCAACCAATTTCCTTTCACGAGTAAGTTATAACATGCAAGATAGTTTATTGCTTCAGGCTGAGAAACAAGAAATTAAGAGCAGTCTGATCTAAGGCACAAATTACTAGACTGAGCACGTGTCCTGGCTGCACATTTTCCATAGATTTTTTTTTTTTCTTTTTGCCTTATGATGCATTGGATCTACTAAAAATGCTGTTGTTGCAACATGGCTCTTCCTTAGCTTAAAAATTTGTTCCTGGACTCTTGTCCTTTTTATGGGGGGTAGTGGGGGAGGTTAATACAAACAACATTGAAGTTGTCTAAATAATCAGGTTTCTCCTAGCTAGAATTAGACAAAGAAAAAACTCCATTGTGGGAGATTTACATCACAGAACAAATGAGATCATTTGTATAAAAACATTGATTGAATCCATGGGTTTCTTTTTCCATGATGACACCTAAAGAATCATCATTATGAGTCAAACTAAAAGTAGGTTGTAATTTTATGCTTGTACATGGTGTCTCAGGCACAAGGATGCTGGTTAAAAAGAGAAAGTAGGATTTGATTTTTAAATTAGTACTATATCCCAAAATACCACTTTCTTACCTTGAATGTATTTGAGATTTGGTTCATATTTCTAGGAGTTTCATAATGTTTATAAAAGTGAAATAGGGAGAGGGGATGTTGTAATAGTGGCTGTCTTTCCATAAAGCATCTGGGCACCTTGCTGGCGTTATTTTTAGCTCAACCCTTGTGAATATTATGTGCAGCTTTATAGTCTCTCTACTTAAACACAGTCCTGAAAAGTACCTCTTTGCCTTCAGCCTTCATTTCAGCATGAATTCTTTATATGCAAAGATGCAGTCTTAGCAAGAAAAACAGCTTCATCAACATTTGCTTTTGAAACAGGTATGGAAAAGTTAGATAATTCTAAATTTCTAATAGAAATTTGCATTTCTGTATGGTGCAGAACTTGCTGTAAGATATTCCATTTAATAAATTTTATTTTTCTTTCTCTTTGTTCATAACAAAGAAATAATTTTTTGACCCTTATGAAAATGGTTTGGCTGAGAACACTAAGAAATCTACAAAGAGAGCAAATATAGAAATGTCTGTGCTCATTCCTTGCTTCGTGGTGGCTCCAGCTGAATGCCCTAAATTTTACAGCAGAATTTATTACTCCAGAGCTCCAAAAGGACTCAAAAGTACTTTCGTTTTGTGCCCTCTGACCTTTCTCTTCCTCTTCCTGCTCTTCCTTGTTCTTATTCTTCCTCCTCCAAATCAAATCTGCACTGCTCTCAGAAATACAAGATGCATAAAGGGATGGATAGATGGGTAGATGAGTGATAAACCAAGAATAGTAAATTGTTAATGGTAGAATCTAGGTAGAGGTTTGGAGTCCTTGTGTGGTGCAAACGTTTAATGTGCTCAGTTGCTAATTGAAAGATTGGAAGTTCAAGTCCATCCAGACACAGCTCTTAAGAAAGACCTGACGATCAACTTCCGAAAAATCTGCCATTGAAAATCGTTTGGAGCACAGCTCTACTCTGACACATATGAGGTCACCATGAGTCGAAATCAACTTGAGGGCAACTGATTAGCTGGTTGGAGGTTATAGAGACATTCACTGTAAGATTATTGCAACTTAGCTATATGTTTGAACATTGTCATAATAAGATACTACCGTGGGGGCTGGGGAATAGAGAACAATGAATATACACTTTTAGTGGGTATGCAAACTGGGATCATCATTTGGATTATACCAATTTAAACAGGTAACAGCTAGCAGTATGTATCAAACATACTCTTGGTTGTACCAAAAAAATTCTACATCTAGTAATTTATTTTTTTTAAAAAAAAGGCAAGTGCTCAGACATATGTGCAAAGATGTTAATTTTGCATCATTTGTAACAGGGACAAACTAGAAACAACCGCAAGATCTTTTAAATGACTTGTCAATATAATGGCATAGCTAAGCAATCAAATACTGTTTATTAGAAATGGTAGATCTATACGTGTTGACATAAAAAAGACGTACATGATGTATGTATATGTGTATATATGTGTGTAAATATATATGTATATATACATATATGCATATATATATGTGTGTGTATATATATCATGATCTCATTTATGAGAAAATATATGGATAGAAGTTTATGTATAATTAAAAATCTGTAAAAAAATATTCTAATCTCTTAGGAGTGGTTATTCAAGAAGGGTGGAATTACAATGTCTATCACTTTCTCTGTGTTTAAAATTTTTACAATTATATTATTAGAGAACAATGAACATAATTCTTTTAAAAGCTACATGAGTCTGTCTTCACAAATAAAGTCACCAGACTGTGTACATAAATGCCCCGCATGGTTGAGATTCACATTAGGCCATGCTAAACAGTTAACAATGTACACGAAGACTCAGCTGTACAATGATGATCACATCATTATTAATAACAGGAAAAAAGAAAAACAACCTAGATGTCCAACTATAGGGAATTAATTAAAGAAATTATGGTACATACAATCAATGGTGTACTATATTGCCATTACAACTTAAAGTACAGAAATAAATGCACTGACATGGAAATATATTTACAATATATGCTGGCTAGAAAATTATCAATGTATAGATATGGCTATTGCCTGGAAGTACATATATATAAAAATGATACCTCTGAATTATGAAATTATGGATTTTTTATCATATAGATCTTTTTTGTCCACATTTTCTATTTTTTCCTACAATATAAATTTTTCCAAAGTTGTGTTAATTTCCATTTAATAACATACGAAAGAAAAGACAAACAGAAAGGAGAAGGAAAAAATCCACACTATTTTTCTATGAAAATGGAGCAGGGAAACCTTGGTGTCTTTAAATAATTTTTGATTGAACCAAAAGGATTATCTAGGTTTTCCCCTTTATCTGTATTACTGAAATCGGCTCTCTTACTAAATTCCCTTCCTCCGACTCTTGTTAAAAGCACATTTGAAATATGTAAAAACAAGACAGCTTCTTTCTTCTAAAGATATTTTTGTGGATTTGACTAGTGGCTATTGAAAGGAAAGTCAAGATGTTTTCATGCTGCTAGGCCCAAGGCATTTCATATTTGGAAATGCTCTATCTTTAATCTCTAATTGCATTAAATTTCTATGTCTGACTCATCAGGAAGGAGGCTTCAAAGCAGAAAAGGGAAAATCCAATTTCTCCCTGAAGATAGTAAACATTGATATATTTCAGGCAGGGTGACACCTGAGTTCCAATGCTTCTATGTGTCCTAACTGGAAGAATTAAGTGTTCAAGGATGTGCCAGTTAAATAATGAAAGTGTTTTGATTTATAATAGATCTCTTTTCTCCAAGGAGATTTAAGCAATGTGCTAAAATTAGGTAAACTTCACAATATATCTCTGAGTTGGCTACAGGGAAGAATTATTACTGTTATTATTATTTTTATTCATCCAGCAAATATTTCTTGAACACTTACTTTATTTATGACACTGAACTTAATGTTTCACTCGTTGTTTCAACTCTTAAGAAGATATTTTTCATAGATCTTTTCTCAATGGCTGTTGAAAGAAAAGTTGGATAGGAATAAAAGTAAAATAAGCAGAAACAGAGTTCATCTCAGGGTTGGAGCCTCTCATATTCCATTATATGGGCTTTGTCATCCATTGTTTCACATACACAGTCACCCCTCCTCCTGTATGCTGGTAGTTGATTCTAAATGTGTTTTCTTGGTTCCTCACAAGACATAATGTTGCCTTTTCTTGATCTCTTGTCACTCCCAGGTAAAATGTCCAGTGATCGAGCATTGAGGAAACAGCAGCAGTTAAACAACCTCGTTTATGTGGTTACAAATCAAGCCAGACCTGGTGACAGAATTGTGGACTTCTGCAGCGGCGGGGTATTATCTCTCTCCTTTTGTCCTTTTTAGTCTTTCCAAGACAGTGTACTTTACTATATTACACTCAAGGTTGTGTTTTTATTTGGCAAGATGGTTGTCTCAGAATGAGCAAAACCCATAGGGAGTAAAGTTAACTTGCTTCTTCTTTTTTTAATTTTCAGGGCCATGTTGGAATTGTGCTTGCTCACATGCTGCCATCCTGCCAGGTAACGTCTGAATAATAGATAAAAGAAGACACTGGAAAACTACACCATTCACTTAGCCGAGTCTGGCTTAGCCCCTGCTCTTTGAGTTTATAATCATCCACCCAGGTTAAACATGTGGCTCAGGCTTTTTCTTTTTTCTTTGAAGTATACTTCTAAGATTCAGAATCTTAAGGAAAAAAAAAGTACAGTAGGACCAAAGTACAGTTTCAGTTCTTAAAAGATTCTATTTTAAAATAATTTTAAAGGAAATAACTATTCCATTGTTAAATAAAATAGTTATAATGAAACTAGTTTAACTTTTAGCACGGTTTTATGCTGGAAATACTGGTTCCTGACACTTTCTGAACAATTTTTATTTTTATTTATTTTTTGGATACTAATTTTTATTCATTGCATCAAAATTGTAACAATAATAAAAATTTTTAAAGAAAAAAAGTAAACGAACCCACTATCTACCACACTGACCTGTCAAATGCTTTTCTCTGTAATGTTCCCATCAAGTCATTGTACATGTGGATGCATATTGTTGCAAATTCTAAAAATACAAATATACTTTTAGTCCCCTATTTTCACTCAGTATTGTATATAAAGGTTTTCTCTATTGCCAATACTTTTAAATATTTTTTAGTGACTACATAATGTTTTCGAGTAAATGTAGTGTAATTTATTCAATCGTTGCTATAGTTTGTTAGAAGTCTATGCTATTTTTAGTCTTCTGCCGTATTAAATCAATTCCTTACAGTGTCTATCTTTTAATACAAAGTCTGAAACTTGGGGTCATCTTTTTTTTTTTTTAATACAAATTCTACTCAGGTATATTCTTTGCTTGGGAGCTCTCTGGAAGGTAGGAACTAATTACATACAGATAGCAGAAAAAAATGTGGAAGAACTCATAAATTGGCCAGAATGACATATACCACAGTGAAGGGGATAGGGTCATTTTTCTTTGAGAAACAGGCAGGTGCCTGTTTTGTTATTAAGGAAAGCAACAATTTCATGACTGGAGTAAGAGGAAGAGAGCTTATAAAGTAGAACCCTGGAGTAGAATTGGGGCTGTAGTGTCCTTTCTCCCATCCTAACAATTCTCTGGAAATGTAGAGAGGCTAAAACTGGAAAAGGGACGTGTTGGCTAGAAGAAAGGCTGGAAAGCCTTCCACACCAGTTATTACTTTGACAGGCTTTTTACACAAAAGGATATATGAATTTTCCACAAAGACAACATAAGGACAGAATAATTGTAGAACTAGTAATGATAGTGATGGAAGTGACTAAACTCTACTCACTGGTCTTGTTCCAAACTAATAATCCTCTCCCGTCTTCTCAGGATTACTGTTAGAGGCTCCTAACTGGTTTCCCTTCTTCTGCCTTGCCCCCACCAATCTTTACTCCACATTGCAATCTCTACTCTACAATCATTCATGATCTGGCTCCTGTTCACCTCTCCAGCCTCATTTCACCCTCCACACCTTGTTCCCCATCCCCACCACACACACCATGTCCCAGCTATACCAATTTTCTCAGTTCTTCAAATACACCATGCTCTTCCTCACTTTGGTCCTTAATACATACTTTCTCAGCATGAAATGCTTCTCCATTCGCCCAGCTAATTTCTATTCATTTTTCAGGCTTCAGCTAGTATGTTACCTCCCCATGAAAAGCTGCTTTACTCCTCAGGTCTAGGTACTCTCATTACACATTATATACCTTTTATTATAACTTCTATCACACTGTGTTATAATTGCCTGTTTCACTTGTATATTACTATAATATGAGCCCCAAGAGTTCAGGGACCTTGTTCATTATCGTACCTCATTATCTGGCATACTCCTGGGTACAGGATAGAGGACCAATATAATATTTTCTGTATTGTTCAGGCAGCCCTGGTGGCATAGCAGTCAAGAGCTTGGCTGCTAATCAAAACGCTGGCAGTTTGAATCTACCAGTCACTCCTTGGAAACCCTGTGGGGGCAGTTCTACTCTGTCTTATCGGGTTGCTAAGATATGAAATACAGTAATAATACTTTTGGAGCCCTGGTGGCACAGTGGTTAAAGCACTCAGCTGCTAATCGAAAAGTCAGTTATTTGAACCCACTATCTGCTCCACAGGAGAAAGATGTGGCAGTCTGCTTCAGTAAAGATTTACAGCCTTGGAAACCCTAGGAGGCAGTTCTACTCTGTCCTATAGGGTCACTGTGAATTGGAATCAACTCGACGGCAGTGGGTTTGGTTTCTCGGTTTAGTAATACTTTGCCCTAATGTCTGAATTATGTTACTGAATATACTATTATTTTCTGCATGATATCTAGGTTACATTAATAGAAAACAAGGAATTATCTTTAGTTCGTGCCAAGAAGAGAAGTGATGAACTAGGCTTAAGCAACATTTGGTTCATTCAAGCAAATATGGAGTATTTTACAGGGATGTTTAATATTGGGGTAAGTACTCAAACAATTTCAATTTCAATTGAAAAAGTATATGCCTTAGGGTAAATAAAGGGGGTATTTTTTATTTTCTTTGCTAAAAAAAGAAACCTATTTTTTCTAGTATTTCTACAATATAGCATATTGATGAATATTAATTTATTCATAACACTTCATCATTACATAATAGAAATACCATTTGTTCCTCCTAGATAAGAACTTCATTTTCTTCCCTGCAGAATCTCCAGAGCTTTGAACAATGTTTGGCACATAGCAAGTTTTTACATAATAGTTAATAACTGAGTGAATGAATTCTAATGAAGATGATTGCCCTGGTTTATTCTGCATTTTTAGAAGACAAAGAAAAGAAAAATAAAACTTTATAATAAAATAAAAATAGCTTTTTAATAACCTCTAAATAATGGGTTGCCTTTACATGATGTTTTATTTTGCTAAGATTTGATACTACATGTATTTTTAATTTCCAAGAGACAGAAAGACTATCAGTCATGTTTATAAACCCTTTAGAGCAAATTGTTATTGTCTAATATTCCTAAAAAAGCCTAACATATGTAATTTTGCCAGCCCATTTAAACCCAAGATTCTGTGCTCTTTTGTGGAATATGAGTTTAATTAAGGTATTACTGTTGCTTCTGTTCCTTGTTTTTGTTGTAAATAATTTTGTTTTTTCCATGATTTTGATAGGAATATATGCTTGATATAGAAAACTACTTAACAATATAAAGAAGAAATCACGACATTCTCACTACACAGAGATAAATACTGTTTGGTCTTTATATGTTTATGCACACATACCAATACACATTTACACACACACATACATACTTACACATATGTTAACATCATTGAAATAGCACATAGATCCTCCTTTAACTGAACTTTACCATAAATCTTTTCCCTTTTCATTAATCATGTTTCTTTTTTTTCCTTGTTGTTATAATGTAATTATGACTGTGATGAATACCTTATGGATTAGGCTTTTCCTGTATTTCTTATTTCCATAGGTGATAGATTTAAAAGTTGAATTACTGGGTCACAGGCATTATTTATGGCTTTTGATAAATACATTTGCCGAATCACTTTCCAGGAAGGTTGTACTAATTTGCATCCCCAACTGAATATGTTCACATAAGCATTGTCTTGTCTAAACAGACATTTTGTTAAACTTGAGAAACTCAGATCTTTTATAGTACTTCTGACTTTTTGTCTAATGAAGTTCATTTAATTCTTAAATATTGACTACTGTAATTTTTTAAATTTTATTGTTATTTTTATAGCCTTAAAAGGGGCAATCTGTTTCCTTTGTAGGCATGATGTAGATTGGTTATCTCAAGCCAAGCCTATGCAAAGAGAAGGGAAATGTTGATAAGGAAATTCAGAAAAATATAGACATCTGATCCAGAATATTCACATTAAAAATATACCTATGTGCAGTTTTAATTTTAGGTAAATATTGAGGTAAAGGCTAGGTCTTCTCCCACATAACAAGCCATTAATCCAGTCCCCATGTTACCAATATACCAGGCAGAATGTTTAAGGTAGCAAGATATTGTCCATTTACTCACCTCTCAAAACACAAAATTCCCAGCTATTAGCCATACATCTGTTTGTCCTTCCATGTCTTATTGATGCTGAATCACTCTGGAGTATTTTTGTAACTTCCAAGTTTGTAATTCACTAACACCAGGTAAATAGGTAGATGTCTTTTTGGAAGTGATATTTTCTCTACATTTCATATTACTATATCCAATTTTTTAAATATTTTTTCTCCTTTAATTATGTTTGTCAAGGTATGTAGAAAACGAACTAAAATCACACAAAGCATTAACCAAAATTAGATTCAGTCTCAAGAAAATAATTTGCCTAGAAATGTAATTAAGGTATTATCACTAGATAAATCAGACTAAATGAATCAGTGCCTGTAACTCTTTTATTAAATAGATCCCAGTGAAAATATGTGACTAGAGAGGAAATCAGAATAACCAAGTATTGGAAATGCATTAAAACTGCATTAATCCATGATTTTGTTATATTTCAAATAATCGCTTGTTGGCATTTATCTTTGCTTAGTAAATGCTTTTCACTTTTACTGTTTTTCTTTAGCTATAAAAATTAATGATCTAAACAAGATTTTAAGGAGAGAATTTTAAACTCTTAGAACCAAGTATCTTTAGGAACTTTAGACAAATTACGTATCAGAATTGAAATATTATTAGTCTTACCTCCTTCATAAATACAAAGCCTGTATCAGACAAAAGTGAATAGACTTATTAATTCTTTTAACCTAGCTGATTTGAAATAATACCAAAGGGAACAAATCTAAATATTTTCAGATTTTTCACCAAGGTCTTCCAATACCCTCTCCTACTATAGTCCTCCATATAACCAGAATCAATGAAATAATACTGTATTTGTTTCAAAAAGACTCTGCAGTTTCTGATTTACATTCTGCTTATTTGAGAAGGACATTTCTTTAGGCATACAAATGCCTGATGAGCATATAAAAACATTCAAAGTCTCTAGTAATTAAATAAATATAATTTGAACAATTATATTCCATTCTTGCCTGTGAAATTTGCAAGGATTTTTAAAATGTTATTACTCATTGGCTTCAGTGAGATGGGCTTAATCATACAGGAATGCTGAAAAATGTTGCATAATTTCTGCAATGATTATTGACATGAAAAAATTAGTTATAATGAGAAACAAAGAAATCAGTGTACAAAATTAGATAGTATAATGGTTAGGAACATGGATTTTAACATTCTGCAACCTTGTGTTAAAGTCCAAGCTTGGCTATTTACTAGCTGTATGGCCTTTGGCAATTTACTTAAACTCTAATGCTCAGTTTTTTTATCTATAAAATGGGCATAAAATACTTGGCCCGTAGGATTATTATGATGTTGTTATAATGTATGTGAAGCACTTAGCCGTTTCCTGGCACTTAGGAAGAACTCAGTAAACAGGGCCTCTTTCTCTGTGCGGTGTGATCTCAGCGATGTAGAAACTGCGTTAGAAAGGACGGGAGGAAGTAATGCTAATATTTTTTGAAGGTGGCTCTCTATATGCTGTGATTATGTATAATTTTTTCTTTATTTTTAGTATTTTCAAAATTTCCTACATTTAACATGTAATTTTTTATATTTATAAAATATAAAGACAGAAGAAATAATGATATATGTTTAATATTTATATTTATAAATTTATGTATATATGCAAGCTTCTTTAGCCAAGATAGGTTAATAGGGTCCTAAGGATTACTAGAAAGTATCTCAGACAATTCTGAACATATAAATATCAAATCATGTATGATATCTTTCAAAACAAGTATTCAATTATTATAAAAATAGCTTTGATTGACTTATTTTGATTTTGATTATAATGACTATTAATGGAGTGAGGAAAATATAAAAGTCTTTTCAAAGGCAGGAACCATCCAAGAAGGTTTTTGTTTCTATTTTTTCATACTTCAATATATGCAACTGTATGACCCCAAGTTGAGTATGTATTGATTACTGTTCCTGGGTGGCGAAGATGGGCAAGTTCTTGGTTACAAACTAAAAGGTTGGTTGGTTTGAATCTAGCCAGATGCACCTTGGAAGAAGACCTGCCGATCTACTTCAAAAGAAGAGTTCAGAAATCAAAATCCATTGCCATAAAGTCGATTCTGGCTCATGGCTACCCCATGTGTTACAGAATAGAACTGGCTGTAATCTTTATCGAAGCAGATCACCAGGCTTTTCTTTCGCAGTGTCACTGGGTGGGTTTTAACCATAAACGTTTCAGTTAGTAGTTGAGTGCAAACTGTTTGTACCACTCAGAGACTCCTGAAAGATCACAGTCTTTGACAACATCATGGAACACAATTCTGCTATGAAACACATGGTGTCATGATGAGTCAGAATTGACTCAATGGCAACTGGAAAAAAGGGGGGGGGTAATTTACCAAAGATTGTGAATATGTATTATTTTTTAGGGCTTTTATTTAAAGAAATTATTCTTGCCTTCATGTCTAATTTACAATAAATAATCATCATTATCGTAAGAATTTACTTTATGGTATTAAGCTTTTTAAAACCTAATTTACAATGTGAATGAAGAAGAACGTGGCATCCAGATTGAAGGAACACTCATTAACAACCTGCGATATGCAGATGCCACAACCTTGTTTGCTGAAAGCAAAGAGGACTTGAAGCACTTACTGGTGAAGATCAAAGACTACAACCTTCAGTATGGATTGCACTTCAACATAAAGAAAACAAAAATCCTCACAACTGGACCAATAAACAACATCAGGATAAATGGAGAAAAGGTTGGAGTTGTCAAGGATTTCATTTTACTTAGATCCACATTTAACACCCATGGAAGCAGCAGCCAAGAAATCAAATGACATTGCATTGGGCCAATCTGCTGCAAAAGACCTCTTTAAAGTATTAAAAAGCAAAGATGTCACTTCAAGGACTAAGGTGCCCTTGACCCAAGCCAGGATATTTTCAATCGCCTCATGTGCTTGTGAAAGCTGCACAATGAAAAAGGAAGACCAAAGAAGAATTGATGCATTTGAATTATGGTGTTGGCGAAGAATATTGAATATACCATGGACTGTCAAAAGAAGGAACAAATCTGTCTTGGAAGAAGTAAAGCCAGAATGCTCCTTAGAAGCAAGGATTACAAGACCTCATCTCACATACTTTGGTCATGTTATCAAGAGGGACTGGTCACTGGAGAAGGACATCATGCTCGGTAAAGTAAAGGGTTAGCAAAAAAGAGGAAGACCCTCAACAAGATGGATTGACACAGTGGGTGCAACCATGGGCTCAGTCATAGCAACAATAGTGAGGATGGTGCAGGACCAGGCAGTATTTTGTTCTGTTGTACATAGGGTCACTATAAGTTGGAACCAACTTGAAAGCACCTAACAACAGCAAAGATTAATATCCATGCTGTCAAACAATATTATGGAAACCTTGTTCTTGAACAATATTACAAAAAGG